GGGAAAGAGAGAGGGAGAGATAATGAGAGGGAAAGTGAGAAATCACCCCCCAGGGGGGGTGGCCATGCCACAGTCCTCCCTCTTCCATTCTCCTCCTGGAATCTTGGGCACGTACGCACATGTGCCCAACAGGAGTTTCAAGATACCAGGCTCGAGACTTGAACTATGGTCAGCATAGAGAAGTTCATCAACATAACTGCTCTGCCATCTGCTGGCCCCCAGGCATAATGTTTTTATAATGCATATTTTCTATGAACTTTTTAAAGGCCCCTCATTTCTTAGTACATTTTTTACGATGAGTCAATATTGATATACTATTATTACCTGAAGTCTGTCATTTACAGTAGGGTTCACACTTCATGTCGTACATTCGACAGCTGTTGACCAACGTGTAAGGACACACATGTACCATAACAACATCTACACGATAGTTTCAGTGCCCCCAAAATGCCCCGTACTCCACTTTTTCATCCTTCCCCTCCTCCCTCCAAATTCCTAGCAACCACTGAAATTTTTTTTGGAGAATTATTTTATTTAACTTTATTTATTTATTCATTTATTTATTTTTAATTTGACCAGAGAGGGACAGAGAGAGAGAGAAAGTGAGAAAGCAAGCTGCCAGGTCCGGGACTTGAACCAGCCATGTAGAAGTCCAGGCCCCTTAACCACCCATGCCATCTACCGGCCCCACCACTGATGTTTTTACTGTCGCATAGTTTTGCTTTTTCCAGAATGTCACGTGTATGTACCTGGAATCACCCGGTATGCAGTCTTTTCATACTGGCTGCTTTTACTTAGCAACATACATTTCAACTTCTTCCATGTCCTTTTGCAGCTTGGTATTACAGCTTACTTCTTTTTACACTGTTTATCCAGTCACCTACTGAAAACTATCTTGGTTGCTTTCAAATTTTAGCAATTATAAATAAAGCTGCTATAAACATTTGTATGCACATTTTTGTGTGAGCGTAAGTTTTAAGTCAGTTGGGCAAAAATGTAAGAGTACAATTGCTGGATCATATGGTAAGTTTGTGTTTTAGCCCTATAAGAAAGTGCCTGACTGTCTTCCAAAGTGGCTAAAATTAGAAAGACTGACCATACCAAAGTTGGTGTGACTGTAAAGCAATTGGAACATAGATGGTGGAGGTGTAAAATGGTATGGCTGTTGGGGCAACAGGTGCTATGTGGCTGACCACTCCATTTGAGTTCTGAACCTAATGGTTTGGAAAACATGCCAGGCACATATGTGTGCATGCCCAAAATCCCAAGAAGAGAATGGAGGAGAAAGAATTACAGCACAGTCATTCCCTCTGAGACGTGATTTCTCCCTCTCTCTCTCTCTCTCCCTCTCTCTCTCTCTCGTGCACATGCGCTATAGCAAGAAAAACAAACAAAAAAATGGTACAGCCATTTTGGAAGATTCTTTGGCATTTTCTTACTATACTAAACATACTCTTTCCATATGATCCAGCAATTTCACTATGGTATTCACTCACATGAGTTGAAAATGTATGTTGATACAGAAACCTGCACACAAATGTGTATACTTACCTTCTTTTTAGTTTTAGTTTTGTTTTGTTTTTTCTTTTTTATTTCTTTTTTGCTATAGTGTGCATGTACTCACCAGAGAGAGATAGAGAGTAAGAATAAAAATGAGAAATCACCCCCTATGGGAATGGCCATGCCACAGTTCCTTGTCCTCCATTCTCCTCTCGGGATTTTGGGCACACACTCATGCACCCAGCATGATTTTCAAGCCACTGGGTCCAGGAATTGAACCATGTTCAGCCAAATGGGAGTTTAGAGCCTTAACCACCATGCCACACACTGGCCCTATAGTTACATTTTTAAAGTAAAGAAAAGATAACTTTACTATAATTTTTAATGGTATCTATTCAGTCTCTACAAACATACAAATGTAGAAATATGAAATTATTCTCGAAAACCAAAGTCCAAATTTGACTTCAAGTCCCAAATCAAATCTATAACTGTTCCCACATAGTACCAAAGCTCATAGGAATCAAGAGCTCCAATCTAGCTCTTAGTTTCTTTTATTTATTCATTGAATTATTCCTTATCCTCTCCCCACCCCCCCATCAGAAACAGGAATAAGTACCCAGTCTGATGGCTTGTTTGGACAGATTAGCAAAGAGCTTATTCAGTTTCATAAGTCTGGGGTACATCACAGTCTCCCACACACACTCGGTGACAGATCTGACCATGCCGCCCATGTACTCTGGTGGTTCTGTTTCAGACTTGTTGACCAGAAATGTCTCGGACTTGGGGTTGTTCATTAAGAGTAAACAGCAGCTCTCAGACAACCAGAGGCAGATATCAGATGCCATTGCTGCTGCAAGTATCGTGACAAATGGCACTGGAATCGAGAGCACATCTCTGGGCATATTTGGGGTTGGCATCCTCCAGCTCAATGACTTCCTAGTGAATTGCCAAGGAGAACACTGCTCTTACGACGAAATCCTCAGCATCATCCAGGTTCGTGCTCATGTTGTGTGTGCATGTGTGTGTGATGACCTTACTCTGATAATTTCCTGCCAAGTAATCACTCTTTCTTATTTTTAAAGTGTATTTACATCAAGAAAAAATATGTGTGCAGTCCCCTTCCCCCAGCCCTCCCGCGATCGGGATCTTGGGCGTATGAATACCCAATGTGTTTCCCATGGACTCAGACTCTGATCCTGCACTGGGCCATGTGGCTTCCAGTGCTGTGGTTCACTATATGATCGCCCATGCCGCCACAGCTGCACCAATATTTACTCTTTCTAGTCTTCTTTCCAAAGCCTTTGAGTTTTGGGCAGAAGTAGAGGGATTTTGGTGTTTTTGTTTGTTTGTGTTGAGATACCAAGTATGTAAGTGTTCTTATTTGACATATAATTAATATAAGCCCCAGGCCTTGACCCAGTATCTCCTATAGAGAAACACTACATACTTCCTTCTTGTTCTAGCACACGCAACAGAACTAATCTAGATCTTCAACTTCTTTTGCCATTTAACAAATATTAAGTAGCTCCTACTATGTTGGCCCAGTTCCAGGAGCTGGGACTATAGCAGTGAATAAGCAAATGCTTTGACTCTCAATACAGTTTACATCCCAGTGAGTGAGGCAGATGGCAGGCACATAAAGATATGATGTATGTAATTTTAGGTAACTCTGAGTTATGGAAAAGATGAAACAGAGTGAGGAAGGGAGTGACACAAGAGGGCTGAGGCCAGAAGCAAAGTTCAATCCAAAGAAGTGGCCTTTGGACTGAGCCCCAAATGAATAAGTCACATGAAGATCTGAGCAAAGAGCATTCCAAACAGGGAGCAGCGAGCTCAAAGGCTGAAGCAGAGCTGGCACAGGATTTATGAGTTGTTGTGATGGCTGTGTGAGCTAGGCAGAGGATGACTGACGTGCTTCCAGACTCATGCAGGGGCCAAGTCACTAGACTTTCAGGCCATCATGAGGTTGACTTTCTTTTCTTATTGTACATCCCTGTATATCTCCACAGCATACAAAATGAATCTTCCAAGCATGAATACACTGTACATCAGTCCAATCAAAGACATTATCATACACATTTTCATCAACAGATAATTTTCTATTTTTGTGTTCATTAAATGTTCTGCTTTTTTTTTGGATTTCCTTCTTCCGGCCCTCCATTGCCCACCCTTCTCCCACACTGTCTCTAGTATCCACCGTTGCTCTTCATGCTTTTAGACCTTCTAGTCTTTCCGTTTCTGCCATAGAGTGCAGACATTCTGTATATATTAAGTGGGAACATACAATGCCTCTCTTTAATAGTCTGGCTTGCTTCAAATAACAGGGTTGACTTTAGTCAATGAGAAAATAGGAAGCCATTGGAAATTTTTGGCAGGAGAGTAACATGGTTTGATTATGTTTTTAAGAGGGTGCTCTGGCCCTATTGGAGCATAAACTGTGCTAGTGAGGCAATGGAAGCAGAGAGACTGGTTGAGAGACTGTCCCTGTCATCCAGGCAAGAGATGGTGATGGGTTAGGCTGGAGCACAGCTAGAGTATAGGGGTGGTGAGATCCTTTAGTGTGGCTGCGTTGTGTGCAACAAAATGAGTAGGTTTTCAACTCTCCTTATCGCCTTACTGGGAATCAGTGGACTAGTTGCCAGCAATTGTATTTTCATCCCATTGCTGATCACTCTTGTAATGTTGTCAGATGGAGACAGTACTGAGTGCTCAGTGTGAATCATCTCTTCACCTCCCCCCAGTCCATGGTAGCTGCCAACTCCATGGTAGCTGCTGTTACTGTCCCTATTTTCACCTGGATAAACTGATACATTTTGCTTTCATGTAAATCAGCCTTATTCTTTTCTCTTGCTCCTCTTTCTCCTCTTAAATAAATATGCTTAGTATAATAAACTCACGTATAATAAATGTTTTCTTTTGGACTAAAGATGACATTTTACCACTACATTACTAAATTAGCTCAAATATTTGGTTTAGATGTTTCCTGATGAAAACAGAACCGCAAAAAAAATCTTTTAAAAATGATGGCTTTTTCCTCTCTCTCTTAGTTTCCTTTACCTAAATAACACTTTTTTTTCTATTCCTTACAGAAGTTCGAGCCTAGTATCAGCATGTGTCATCAGGGCCTAATGTCATTTGAAGGATTTGCAAGGTAACCATTGAAATCTCTTTTGCTTGTCCTTTAAGAGTTTATATTATCCCCATGTAATTTAAAGAAAATGTGTTTCACCTAGATTTCTGATGGATAAAGATAATTTTGCCTCAAAAAATGATGAGTCACAGGAGAACATTAAAGAATTACAGCTACCCCTCTCCTACTATTACATTGAATCTTCACACAACACCTACCTCACGGGCCATCAGCTTAAAGGAGAATCTTCAGTAGAACTCTACAGCCAGGTACTGGGAAGGCCACTGGAATGTGGTTTTCATTAAACTTTATTATTTATATAACCCCAAAGTCACCAAAACCTGACCCCAGACTCCTTTGAAGAGCCTGCAGAGTAAACTATTCCATGAGAAATGTGGGGGACCATGACATATGGGAAAACTGTCTGTACATACAGCAGTTATTTTCCTTACTTCTTTTTGTTTTGTTTTCACTCCTGTCTACACTTAACCTTTATTCTCGGCAAGAAAAAAAAAAGTATTTGTTTGAGACTCATAGCTTTTAGATCCTAGTCTGACCTACTCCTACTAAAATTAGATTTTCTCATGGGAAAATTATCTAATCGTTTCACTAAATGCTAAATAAATCAATATATTGTAGTGGGAAAGTATAGTAGAAAATGCAACTTTCTCCCAAGTTATTTCCAAAATATTATTTGTTTTGCTTTGCAGTTAGACAATCAATCTATCCCTATGGTAACAAACATAAGGGAAAAAATGTGCACAGAGTGTAGACACGGTCCCTGCACACTAAATTCATGGGAATGGTTTTTGAAGCTCAGTGGGTCCTCTGGACTAGAAGAAGCATGTCCTCATGCTCTGAACACGAACTTTCAGTGATCTACATGTCTGTTGTTTCTCTGATATCTACAATGTTCTCAGCTCTGCTGCCTGCTTCCTGAACTTCTAGTAGGGTTTATCAGGGAGGAGCTGGGCAAGACACAGGGAATATAAGAGTGTGATTGTGTGTGCATGGGTCCAACCTGGAAAATTATCATTGCACTGTGTATACAACTCCAGTGGAAATAAGGATCTTTTGTTCTCCAGAATAGTCCAGATAGTCCTCAAAGCATGGGGCAAATTTTTGTCCCAGAGCTTATGTAGCACAGAATGCAGATTTCTAATGCTATCTTCTAAGGGACTTTACTATGGGAAGAGGTGTCCCTTAGAGAAGAGATTTTCCTGATAGGAGTTGTGCTTAGGGACCTAGGTTTTGACGCTGAGGTGATAGGAAGGCTCCCATACTCTGCCTCACTTTAGCTGAGGTGCAAATCTTTTACATGCTCTAGACATTGGCCTCCCATTTGCATAGATAGTTCAGGTTGAAAGAAATTTTAAATCATTGTTCTATGGGACAGAAATATATGTGTGTGTAGATACTATATATATTGGATCAGAAAAGGCATGACATATTTTTTATATTCTTCTATGCAAAAATACATCATAACTTTTCTGACAACCGTACATATATATATATATATGTACGTATATGTGTTGTATATACATATATATACATGCACACACAAATACACACATACATGCGAGTATGTATACACATGTATGTAAGTGATACTTTCATATCGGTGTATACCTACATACTTTTGTGTGTGTATATTTCTCCCAGCAAAATAAGCAAGGGTCAGTGACTTAGCTTTAATTCCTACTTTATTTCCCTGTTGGACTTCAAAGTTCTTAAACTCCATACCATTGCACCCTAAGTAGAAATGATCACAACTTTTGAATAAGGTAGAAGAGTTCCTCAAATAGTTCACAGATGAGGTTAAACTTACAGGCGGACCCCTTTGTCTTCATTTGCAGTCACTCTGCCTCTCCCTCAGCCTTCTGAATGACCTCCTGACATCTCTCTGTAGAGCAGATGGGAAGTGAGAATGAGCCCTGTTCTTCTGACCTAGCATTTCCAGCTCTGCTTTTCCTTTTCAAGCCTTATGTAAAGATCTTAAGGCCACATAGACTTTGCTAAAGGCTGTTCATCTTTTCATACTGAAAAAAACATCTGATCTTATCTGTTGCCAGTTGCTAAACCTTCTTCCCAGTCTGGCAGGGTCGCCATAGAGATGAGGCAGCCTCCTATTCCAGCTGCCATGTTGCATAGCAAGCTTCAGCCCAAGGCAATATACTTCTAGATACACTAGCTGCTTAAAGAAGCTGATCACCTTGGGATTCTAGGCCACAGACTATGCTGTGAAAATATTTTTAAGAGTCATTCCACTGTCTGAGTTTTGCTACAGAAACTGTAGAGACCACTAGCCTCTAGTAATGGATTGCTGTTGGATGGAAATAGTTATGTGGTTTTTAGATCTGGGTCAATTTATCAACCCCTTGACTTGGGTTACTTTCCCATTATGTGATCATTTTTAAGGTAGTCTACAGAAAGAGAGTGTGGAGGAAGAGGTTGCTCCAAGCAGATATTAGATAGCTGCAACTCAAGCACATACACGAATCAGGAGCTCTGCTTTCAGCTTTCCATCCTGAATAGCAAATAGGAGTTATCTCATCTGAATCTTTGATAATGTTTCCTGCAGCATTTTACTGAAGAGGTCACAAGAAGAACATAACAAAGCTTAGGGGGGAAGTGTGCTATGATTGATTATTGATGTCTGCTGTGGCGAAGGAGTTTATGGATTAAATTTACCATCTCTACTCTAGACACCATTCTAGAATTAGATAGTCAAATCCTGGTAACTTCTTGTTTCTACCCTTCTTTCATGGTACCTATTCTTAGCAAAGATCTTTGCTCATAGCTGAATTTAGATCTTAAAAGAGGAGATTTTTATCCTGATTAACTTTATATATGGTTAGCCAGTTCATTAAGGACTCAGTGGACTTACTTCCTCTGGACTGTGGTATCAGCACTTTCACCTCCATCTACCCAGATAGAGCCTTTGTCTGGCTCTCTGATTTCAAGATGTCTGTTTCAGGAGACCAAAATATGTTCTTGCCATCCATGTTTGCCTTCAATCACTAGTCAGGTAACACTGGTAAACACTCT